ACACACACACACACACACACACACACACACACACACACACACACACTGCTTCTGCTCTCTGGGGTTTTAAGGAGGAGAATAAAATCAAAGCAGACCTATTTTTAATCAGATTTAAAGGCACTCGCTGCAAAAAAAGTGTTAAATTATAAACAACAAAAGACTGTCCCGAGTTGTATCAGACAGTGCAGTTTGAACGTGTTTGTTATTGTTCTTTCCTGGGTTTAATGAAAGGCAGTGCTGAAATGCAGGTACGCACTCAACGTCAACAATGCTGCACAAGTCACACAACAAATCTGAGCCTTAAAATAAAAATAAATAAATAACGACTCCATCTTAATTAGCTGTGGACGTTGTGATTGTTGGTCTATGTTCAGACTCTACAAAAGGTAAAGAAAAAGCAGCTAATAGTTGAAACAGTTTTTAATTTAAGGACAGAATAAAAACTCGGAGAGAAATTGGACGGGTTGTGTTTAGGACTTCTCCCGACATTGCAGTGAGTACTTTTAATGTCGTTTTTTTTTTTTTCATTGTGTAAACAACAACATTTTTTAAGAAATAAAAAAATAAACGAAAAAAAAATGACGTAAAAATAAAAAAACGCGGATCTGCTCTGAATCTGAGCTTTAAAAAAAATACTTTCTGAAGCAAATTCACTGTTAAGAATGGGGGCAGATTAAACCCCCCACCTCACAACTCCCCCCACCCCTGCGACTTTTTCTTGCAGACGTCTTGCTCCCGAACCTCATCGCGCTGAGAAACGCGAGCTTTTCTTCTTCTTCTTCCCCCATTTTTTTTAATTGTCTGCTGCGCCTTCCCAGTGAACAGCTGCAGAGCCAGGGCCACATTCCCAGTGAAGCCGGGCCATCAGGAGCATTCAGCCCACCACCGATCAGCTGTTGCTGCTGCGCATCCATATGCATGCGCGCGCGCGCGCGAGAGAGAGACAGGCGCGCGGGGGTGACCTCCCTCGCGCCTTATAGCGTCCGATAGAAGGAGCATATGCTGCAGGAGGAACAAATGATTCACCTCCATCCGTTTGGGTCAGTAAAGTCCAGCAGATCAAGCCGGATGGGGGGCAGGTGGGGGTCTTATTGTTCAACTTAAAAAAAGAAAGAAAAGAAAAGAGCTGACGTGGTAAATAAATAAAAAATAAAGTAAACAGTGGGTTTGGTGTCAGAGTCGCGGGTTTGAACAGAAACGTCAACATTTTAGTCTCATTACGTCTTTATTCATTCACTTCTTCCTCCATCTAATAAACTTTATAAGTTTATTTGCTAATGTCAGTGTATTTGTACAAAAGACAAACAAACAAACAATCAGACATGAGCAGAGTCCTGTGTTTTCCGGACCTGGACCTGGACCTGGACCTGGACCTGGACCTGGACCGGGACAGAGAGTCTTCAGGAGCGGCTTTTAAAAACCTCCTTCAGGTTTTGTCTTTCATGGAGGGAACTGTCTGCAAACTGCTCCTGCTGCAGTAAAGTTTGTTTCTCTCACTGTTTTTTTGTTTTGCTGTGTTTTGTTGTGGGGGGGAGAAGAGGGGGTGGGGGGCTGCTTATCGCGGGTGCGGCGTGCCGGGCAGGGGGTTTAGCGCCGGTTGCCCCCCAGGCCCGAGGCCGTGAATGAGCACCCTCGGGACCAGGGGTCTCTGGAGGCCCGGGTGGGGCGTGGAGGGAGTCCGGTACATGCTGCTGTACATGGCCGCGGCCGCCGCGGCCGCCGTGGTGCTGTCCACGGTGCCGAGCAGGCTCGGGTGGTAGAAGTAGGGCGAGGGGAACATTCTCTGCAGGGCCGAGTAGTTCCCCGCCTCGGCCAGGAGCTCCAAGCCCACCGCCGTCTGCCTCTTCCACTTCGTCCTGCAGGCAGACATCACAAACACAGCGCATGAATTATTGAATCACTGCGCGCCGAGTCCCTGAACGCATCTTTAATTGGTATGCAGAGGCCTAATTACTGCAGCCCGAGTGTGTGAAGGTTTAATCAGACAGCAGCAAAAAATACAAACACATACAGGCTGAACGGTTTACTGCACGTTCATCCCAACCTGTGTCTGTGAGCTGACACAAGATCAATTATTGTGTTTTCCTATAATTCAGCCTTTATTCTGAAACTCTTTAATAACTATTTATAAAACAAGTTATTTATTTTATTTGTATGGTTAGTCATGCAACACGTTTGATCTTAAAAAAGGTATTACTTTAATATGTGTTTACAAATACATCAGGCTTAAATTAGGCCAGAAAGGGCAAAACATAAAATGACATTTACAGTTTTAGGCAATGATTTTATATATTCAAACATTTAACAGATTAACTTATTTGTCAGCGTGAGATCCACACATGAGTTTTAAAAATAACTTTTTTTTTTCAACATCCAACCAAGCGTTTTTGGTACATTTTTCATTACATGCATCTTATTTCTGATTTATTTTTTTTTCACTTTTTCAGACCGTTTTTTATTCATATAATCTGGTTTGTTTTCATTGAACTGGAATATCATAGTTTTGTTAAAATGTTGTTTGAGATATATTTATTGTGCAGCACTTTCGTCCAACTCATGCTTTTGATTATGAGCTATAAATAAATTAACATTGCTTATTTTATGTTTTGTAGATTTTTTGACACACACATAATAAT